TACTTTTTGAGCAGAAGGTAGATAGAAATATTATTGTTTAACACGGGATCTTAATCACTGTTAGCTATGGCATCATTTCGAGCCCCTAATAAAACATAGGATACGGCTATGAAATGGCATTAATTACTAACAACAAATTAATATAATATATTTATAAATATAATTTAGTATAAAATTATTATGAAAAAAAGATATCTGTTTGTTGTTAGTATCCCCTAATCTGATACTTTTTTAACAATTTTTGATAAGTTTTACTTTTCTGAATTACTTCTTTTCAATTAATCCATAAATTAATCCTATGATTTTGTTAAGAAGTGGCTAATGATTATTTTGTTTATTTTTTAAATTGGATACCTTAATCAAAAATTTTTTTTCAAGATTTTAAGAGATCATTACATACAATATACAATGGTTTAAAATAAACAACCAATTATATATTGAAACTATTAAAAATGAAAAGTAACTAGTTACAAATAAAGCATTAAGAATAAAATTGGTATGAAAGCAGAAACTCGAATTCGGGTCCTACCGTTTTAGGGGTTTATTCTTATTATTGAATATAATGAGAATTTAATTTTTACTACTTTAAGTGCTTAGCTTTCGTCGTCATCATTGTTATCATTTTTGTCTATCATTTGTTATATTGCCTATTGTCTACGTTCCGTTATTTATTTTAGAGATGTTTTGTTTTCTCTGTATTCTTAAGCTTCATCATCTTATTGTTTTCTCTGTATTCTTAAGCTTCATCATCTTGTTAAGGTAGTACCTTAGTGTTATCGATTTTAGGTCAAGCGCATTATCTGCTGCTACGTTCTTATTCTATATATCTTTCAAGTAGTTCGCACGACATAGGATCTTATCTTTATATAGCTGTTATATATATAAATTAAATATTATTTTTTGTAGAACTTTATAATAATATAAGCTAAAATTGTGTATTGTGTATAATAATAATATTTATATAGAGAACTATATTTGGTGTTGACTTAATGAATTTGTTTTTTTCATGGAAAATATTTTTCGCTTAAATTTTCTGTATAAAGAAGTACCAAATCACGCTAACTCAAACTGTATTGGTATGCATTAATGTATGAATATTTGTCTGTATATATTGGCAAGAACATACGATATATTGCATCTGGCTGTATAGGATCCTGTGTATTTCTCATATGCTTTAGACAGTGCCTGGAAAATAGTTTTATTGTGGAGAAAAAAAAATGTCTGCATTGTTGAAATTCCTTAAAAATAAAAGTTTATGTTGCTGATGATTATGTTGGCGTTGCTAATGCTGTTGCTGTTGCTGCTATTGCGACTGCTACTGCTACTGCTGCTGTTGGTGAAAGGCATCAAAAGAGGATATTACAATATTTTTCGAACAATAGGCGTAACATAACAATTAGTACAATTTACGATTACATTGTGATTTATTACTTGAAAATATTTGCTCTGTGCCTGACTGGCTATGCTCATATGGATGCGGAAATTTTTGTAGTTAAGGAGATGAAAGTACATTTAAACATCTCACTGGGAGTGAGAATAGCATAGAGTTCAGAATATATTTTAGTTATTAATAGTTAATGTGTCTGCAGTTTAAACACCGAATTTGTAGCTAATAAGAATTTACATAAATTTTACTCTAACGTGAATTTGAACAATCGAAGGTGATAATTTATGAGTTCGATGACAAAAGGAACTATAAATTGTACTCACATAAATGCAGAAATTCTAAGAAACAAATTAAATGTTTGTAGTTTATACATTGAATAATTGTTTTGTTAAGCTTTAGTGGTAGTATGCCTAGATATGTTTGGAGGTAAGTCAGTTGGAGTTAGAGAATAGGCGAAATCATATTATTTACACTAATAATATCTTATGGGGTTATTTCTGTAGTCACTTTTCATTTACCTTGAGTCCAAAGTTATTACTTTGTTTTCGTATTTTCTTAGACTTTATACCTCTAGCCAGCTTTATTGATTTCTTCGTCGCTGTGTTTATTTATATATTATTCGATTTCTCAATTTTCAATCAATTGTAAATTGAGTAGCTGAAAATGTTCAATTTTAGAAAGTAATTCCATTTTAAGGCATTTTGAAATACTCATGGATATCTCAATAGAGATACAGAAATATATTGTGGTATAATACGAGTATGTAACGGAAAAGGATGTCTTCACGCCAAACAAACAATTTGCCACATTATAAGCACACAACACATCGAAAAGAAAGGATATTTTCTTTGATGAATATTGAAAAATTTGCAATATTTTCCTGCACCTTAGCATGTTTAGATTTTTAGACAGGAGCGGTCTCAAAGAAACAGTCAGATAGTCATTTTCATAAGCCACTTTTTTTGGTTCTGACATTTACTTCCTGTTTGTGAATACGCCACTGTGTTATCAAAATTTATTTGGAGTTTATATTAGCTGTTTGTGTAGAAAAGCGCAGTTTTCAATTTGCAATAAAATAACTGCTCCGATTTAATGCTAATACCCCAAACATTTTCACAGCTGATAAAAGGAGTAATTTCAGTAAAAACAAATGAAGTCTGCTTTTAGGGTTCTCCGATAAACCGTACAATTTTTTACAGTGAAAGCTCATTTGTGATTATTATACAAATTTAAATACTCGTATAAATATATAAAAGTATATGTGTATGGAACTGAATATGCGTATCAGGATTTTTATATATTACAAAATATATGCGAAAGTCTGCAATTTATTTTAATCGCTGTTTATTTTAACACTTTGTTGCACTTCAAAACTGACAAATTAGAAAAAAGAATGAATAAAAAAGAGGAGGAGGCAGGTAGCACGTTTCGCTTCTGTTGCTGTGTAAAAAACCTAATTTTGAAAAAAAAAATACTCATACCATCTGCCACCTGAACACTGAAGGATCCTGTAGTTTCTGTATTTTGTGCCGCAATTGCAACTAACAATTTGTAGACAAACAATATTCGCCGTGTGCAACATTTTGGAAAAAATGAACAATTTCTGCACGCTTTGTTGCATATGAATATGTTGCATTGTTTTCAGTTACTGAGAGCACTGATGATATCGGCACTGGGTTTTGTAAATTAAAATTTTAAATAAAATTTATTTTAAAATATTAATAAAAAGTGTAATAGAATGTGGAAGATGTGGAAAGATATGGAGTTGGTTACTTTTTAAACTAGAAATTAAAAAGTTATCTGCTTTTTGATACATTGAAAATGACAGAGAATTTTAGCCACATAAATTTAGTTTGGTTATTAGGGTTCGAATAGGAATAAAAAGACAACAACAAAGACGACTATTCAAACCGTTCTAACTTTTAAATAGTTTCTTTTTGTCATAAGAAGCGTGACTTTCGGCAAGAAAAAAACTAATAACTTGGTTATTTTTAGTGGGGGTTGAGCTTGGTATTCAATTTATCAGCGCATACTCCGGTGTTCGGTAATTCCATGTTTCAGTTTTTATTACAAAACAAATTTGTGTATACACATCAAAACTCTTCATGCTTAAACACTAGTTCATTATTTAGAAAATTTTAAAGAAACTGATTTAAATATAATATGCATCACAAACCTCCCCATTGATTAGTATTGTTTTATTTTGCTTTAACATCTTTAATTGGTAGTTAAATAGTCATTAGTTAGCAATTTAAGATATATTCTAATATACTTCAGTTGATGTAACAAAAATTATTTTATATGTTCTAATCATATCCAAATTATTATAATCTGTAGTTACCTTATAGCTACTAAGCCACAAGCAGAACTTTTTTTTCGGCAGATGCACAATGTCGACAGCAATAGTGTGAGGCTTTAGCCTACTAAAACCACTTTTAAGGAATGAATGGAGAAAATTTATACCACTGCCCAGAGGGTAATGGTAAAACTTCATTTCAGTAGTAAAGGGTAAGAGTTAAGATAAATAAACTTAGTATTTACAAGTCTAATGTTTATTCATAGACGTGGTATACAAGGAAAGAAGGTAGTAGGATAAAGAGAGAGTAGGATTAATGCGACAGCGCGAGGAGAGGGAGTAGGTTAATTGTAGACTCCGTTATCGGCATCATAAAAGCCACGGTTATAGAGGGGGTGATGGAAGATTCTAATTGACACCATTCGAAGTATAAGTTCAGTTTTTGGGGGGCTTAGAGTGCATGTATAATCAGAGATTAGAGAAAAAGGTGATATGGGTTGAAATGTTGTGGGTAGGGCTTGCAACCGGGAGGGCAATAATGAAATTTGAGTCGAACTATACCTTTCAATAGCCATGATAAAGATTCTTTATAAAAGAGTATATAGTTTTATATCCCGAACTGTTCGCATATATATTGTTCTACTGAACTTAATTCATATTTATTACGTAGAAATCTTTTCACTTTGTACATGCAAGTAGATAATGCGAAGTCAATAGTACAAAAAAGCAAATAGCAAGAAAAAAATAAACGGCGGAGAGAACTAATTGCCAAATAATTGTGTAATTATTTATAAAAAACTATGACAAAAACCTTTGTTTAAAGACTTTCCACTTTACAATATCAGTACAATGGCTTCGCTTAGTAATTAAATTTTTTTAAAATTAAAAAGTTTTAATTATTTTGTAATTTAGGTTATACCGGCTATTCCTGGTGGATTCTATTGGCCTATTGGCTAATTATGTTACCGTATAAGTAGGAAAGGCTCGGGATTTAAAAACACCTAGAACCTTTGTCGAAGTTTAAAATGCTATTCAGTGTCAGGTGTTGCAATTGATCAAAATCCTCAAGAAAGTGGGCTCCCAAAATGTTGAGTTGTCCCCGTGCATGAGCTGGGCAAAAACTAAGTAGATGAGAGGCACTCTCATCGTGTTCCCCACAGCTGCGACAGGTTTGATTGAAAGGGAGATCCAATCTTCTACCATGGTTCCCTATTTTACAGTGATCTGTAAGTAAACCTACCAAAAGACCGATATTTCTGCGGGGTATTTCAATGAGAATTTCGGATTTCCTTCTATTGGAACGTGGCCAGATTGTATACAGATGTCTACATATCGTTGAGGCTTCTTATCTTTTATTAAAAATTTTGAGTATGAAAGAACTCAGCAACAGTTTGCATAATTACTTTGTAATTATAATAAAATAAATTTTGTTGCCTTAAATTTAAAATTTCAACTAATTTTTTTTTTATAGAAGTCTCTTATCGCTAATGTATTGACTTTATGTAGGTATTCCTTTGAATCGAAAATTCTAACCAAATTTACTGAATCTAAACAACAAAATATGAGTTATTAGACCAGCAAACCTGCCACTAATGTCAGCGTTTCAATATCTTTTGAATGAAAAAGAAAAGGCAAAACTAATTAAATTTCAAATAAAATGAAAGAAAGGCAACATAATAATTTTGAAGTAAGTTGGACTATTTTTTATTTCTGATTGCATCTGTGTTATTTGTTTAGGTTAGATCCTTTGGCACATAGCCAGGCACATGTAAAAATTTTTGCTCTAAGATACGAAATAAGTTGTCAGTAATGGATGGAGCATGAGCAACTGCAAAAAGGAAAAATTGTACAAAACTAATTAACTAATGTCAGAAACAAGTATTTCGGTTACAAACTTACCCACTGAATACGTCGGAAATAGGGAAAAAAACAAAAACTATTGCCACAAGTTGAAAAAAACATGAAAAAGGTCGTTGCAAAAATCATGTCAAAATCTTTAATAACATACAGAAAATTGCCAAATCATTAAGCAAACAATGTAGAATAGAATCGGAAGAAAAAAAAAATTATAACAAATTGAGCAGAAAGTCTGGTGATAAGAACGATAAAAAAAATTTATACTCATCCGCAGTTCACAATTTACACGCAACGTTGTCCTGGCGTTAAGGACAACGTCAGCATGAGTTTTATCAAAATTATTGTTGGCAGTGCTCTTCTTACTATCTCGTTGCTGTCATTAGTATTGCCAACACGTTGCAAGTACGCCGCTTTGCAATTGATCACTGAAGTGTCAATGACTAAAAATAGCTGGCATCACTTAATAAATTGCCACATTCGTTCCTCCATGCCATCATTCATCCGAAATTAACTGTCGCCATTGCAAGCGATTAAACGAAAATTCAGTTCCTCATCAGTTTTGATTTCCTATGGAAATATTTCCATCGAATATGTTCTGTTGATTACTGTTGATATTATTGGTAAAAACAATAACATTTGTCCTTCGAATAAGTTAAAGCGGGGCTTTTGAATCACAACGTAACCAATGGGAAATTAAAGCTTGCGGATGATGCTGGGATGTGCTCTAGTATCAGTTAGTATTAAAAACATAAAAGTTAAAAAAATTGAAATTATTGTATTTAAAATTTTTAGTTTAAGGGTACTAATAGTTTTTTCCAAAGCAGAAAACTAACTTCAAACTACTTGAAGATAACATGTTTTTTTAAAATTTCAATTGTCATTCATGGTAGTGTGGCCAACTGTTATAGTTATGATAAGGTGAAAAAGTCTTTTAAATTGAAAAGTAATGTTAAAAAATGAGAATTATTACATTAGAGCATATACCATAGAATGACATTGTGGGTAAAATAGAAGAAATAGATCTAAAGTAGAATTACAAATATGAAGGATGATAGATAAACAAGAACGATGCCAGCCTGGAGATGATCATTGCTGGTGTTACAATAGACTCAGTGGGTAATTGGGATGTAGAGCTCTCTATTGACAAACAAAACACATGCTTGATATGTCGCTCATCCTACCTGTGCTTATTTATAGCGCAGAAGAATGGATATTATCATAGTATTATGAAGCTGCAGCGAGAGTTTTCAGGACAAAAATTCTTCATTAGATCATAGGTCCTCTACAAGTTGGCGTCAATTACAGTATTCGAATGAACAATGAGCTGTACAAGCTTCATCAAGACATTGATATAATTCAACGAATTAAAATTTAGCGGCTCAGCTTGCTAAGTCATGTTGTGAAAATGGAAGACGATGCTTCAGTAAAATAGGTAGTTGATAGTTGAGGAAGGAAGCTTAGAGGTAGACTATTTCTCTAG